AAATATAATTTGAGCTAAAAATTTGACATTTTCAAAGGGGAAGTGAGCACACAATAGTTCCAGAATAGATGAGTGAGTAGCATAACTCAATTACAAATATAATTTGCTTTTTTAAATTCAGAACCCCAACCAGTGGCGGATCTGGGGAAGGGGGAGGGAGGGGTGGTGAATAGGGTGGCTAGCCACCCCACTTTGTTTACCGTGAAAAAAATAATGGTCACTCGTCTTGTGTGTGTGTGTGCCTTCTCGTGCACTTTAGTAACACCTGGTAAAACATACACTTTCTTTTTTTTAAAGATGAAAAGTGCGCAATTCTATTATAGTTTTAACTTGTGCTGCCATCTTGGTAGTCGGAGTTGCCAAGACTGTGATTCAAACATGGAGTAATTATCAAAAAGTACTAAAAACCTTTCAGAACCTATTTTTTTCATTTAAAACAAACAAATACAAGAATACGGCGACGATAACTTCGCCCTTGTTATAGTTCGCACTAAATGCATCCGCTCGAACTGGCATCCGCTCGAACTGACATCCGCTCGAATTGACTGGCATCCCACGGTACCAACGTTCTAAAATAGACAATGGGTCGTGTCTCATATTATTTGTTATATTTTTATTGTTCATTATTTTCCCTTGACTCGCATACATAATTTTGTTCGAAGAACATTTATATGTAGTTGTACTTCGCAGCACTTCACTTGCAATTTGCAATTTCTAGTTTAAGTGTGATAGTCAAAATCTTGCATTTGTTTAAGTTGAGGGACATTTCCCAAGTGTTGCACCATAAGTACAAGATATCTGAATCGTCTTGAATAGATTTGGCATCGTCAATCTTACTAACCAGTCGTAACAATTTAAGGTCATCAGCATATAATAGTCGTTGCGAAGTAAAATTATGAGGCAAGTCATTGATGAAAAGATTAAAACATAAAGGGCCTAAAATAGTGCCTTGAGGAACACCAGATTGTACCGATGTCCATTCAGACGTAGCACCATCAATAATAACTCTCTGTTCTCTATGTGTAAGATAGCTTACGAGTTTCAATTAAGTTACCAGTAACGCCGAATTTAGAGATCTTGTAAATGAGTAAATCGTGATTAACTCGGTCAAATGCTTTTGAAAAGTCAGTATATATTACATCACACTGAGAGTTATTATTGAGAGCATTATATGCAATTAAACAAGTTAGCTAAATTAGTAGTACAAGAACGCTAAGGAATAAATCCATGCTGAGCAATTGAAAGTGCAGGAGCAACATGGTCATATATTACACATCATGGATTATACGTTCATATATCTTATAGCAATAGTAGGGACAATAGGAACAGGCCTGTAGTTACAGACCTCATTTCTTTTACCACCTTTATGGACAGGGTGTACATTTGCCATTTTCCATGCTCTAGGGAACGTACCTTCACTAAGTGACCAGTTGAAGAGCATACACAAAGGTTGAGAGATGGCAGGAGCACCAAGTTTAAGAATAATATTACTTATGTTATCACTACCAGATGACTTTTTTACATCTATTTCACGTAAAAGTGTTTCGATACGTAAAATATCAATATTAAAAGTAGAAATATTGTCTAAGTCATAATCTGGAAGGTCAGGATAAATAGGCTTTGGAACGCTATTATTGAATACAGAACTGAAGTATTTATTAAATAAATTAGCTTTCTCCTCAGGAGAAGAGGCAGTAGCATCACCATGTTTCAAGTTTACAGGTTTAATTTTGCATTTATATGAGGATTTAATCCAGCCCCAAAAACGTTTAGGATTAGTTGTCATATCGTTTGATAATTTGGTAACATAACTGTAGTATAATACTACGAGAAAGTCTCTTGGATTCAGCTCTAGTGGCTGAAAAATTATCATTATTGGATGCATTAGGGTGTTTCTTTTTTAACCTGAATAACCGTTCCTTCTTACGAAGAAGATTACGTAATTCAACATCAAACCATGGTGGTACTCTCCGTCTAGGGTTTACTACTGGCACAACATCTTTGATAACTGCTAAGACTAAAGAAATAAAATCATCAACAGCATCATTAACATTTTCACAGAGTTTTAGAGTATCCCATGGGACATTTAAAAGTGTGTTAATTAAAAGATCCTTATCTATTTTCATGTAGTTATATAGAGTCCTGTTGTTGATGTTGTTACTAGAGTATTTACGAAACAGGACGGTAGAGGGACGACGACGGTTGGAACAACTAAGCCCCGCCCACTAGTGATACTGCGCACGCGTGAGCTATTTGGACAGTCGTCGTCAAGCCGAGGACGACTGGAAAATTGATGTTTTACCGTCCACAGTGAACGAAAAGTAAACAAAACAAGAATGACTTCTCAATTTCCTTTAAAAGGTATGTACAGTATATACTTATATTTATTGTTGAAATTTAGTGATTCTGTGGTTTAAATATTAAAAACAATATTTTTCATAATTATGATTCAAATTTCCCATATTTTTACTGTTTTTTAGCCCAAGTTAAGCCTGGGCCCGCCTCGATTCGAGTGTTTAGGCCTAGGCCCTAGGTGCGTGGAAGACGAACGCCCAACGAATGAGAAACAAATGCTCATCGTACAACTAGCGTCCCGTCGAGAGCCAGTAAGGGCCCCGGGGCAACACCTCACATGCCCCCCCCCATCACTTGGGACCCCCACTCGGCCGCTCCCCAACCACTGCAGATTCCCGACCACAAAGAAAGTCTCTATGCAGGAAATGGCATCCCCCCCCCCCCCCGGATCTGTGAATGGCCCCCCCCCCCCCCCCCGGATCTGTGATGACCACATACAGAGATTTCATGACGGTGAGCATCTATGGATTGAGGGGGTGGGGGGGCATCTGGTGGAACGGGAGAGCATTGGGTGGACTATTCCCCTGGGGGATTATTCATCAAGATGTGGCCTTCTAAACTGAACTGTGTAAGATGAATCATTATATTAATAATAGGTCATCTCAAAATTCCATGCTATGTTATGGCCTTCTAAACTGAACTGTGTAAGATGAATCATTATATTAATAATAGGTCATCTCAAAATTCCATGCTATGTTATATTTTCCAGAGGCAGAGCTGCGAAAAACTTACGAATATGGCAACTTCATTCCTGGAAATGGCACTTTTTAACTTTGAAGAGATGGGTTATATGTTTCAATTTTTGGTTTTTTCTGTTGCTAAGTTTGTTTTTGTGGGTTTAAATGAAATAGTATTGCTGGCTACATGTACAGTACAATGGTCTGGTGTTCTGTTTTTCTCGGTGTGACATTTGTTTTTCATGTTATGCATTTATTTGCGTCAATTGATTATTGTAATAATAATAATAATAATAATAATAATAATAATAGTGCTGGCAATCCCTTTTATTGTTCTTCCCCTAGTTATTAAACATCATCTGTGTATTTTTTTGTTTGGCGACATAGTCAACAATTTCAAATACATTGACTTCAAGAAAAACCAAAAGGTTTGCCTCTCAGCTTGTGGAAAAATGTACTTGGTTTCGGGATTGTTAACCAATGCCCATGTTTGCCTGTATGGCAATTCAACTTCCCGCTTCTTTCAACTTGACCCTCCAACATTGGAGCAGTACTTTTCATAAGTCCTCGGTAAAATGCCAATGAGTATTATTTACATTAATTTATCCTGTAGAACTCAATGGCATTGCAATTACATATATGTTTGGTTAATAATAATAATTTAAATGAAAGTGCCTGTGCTTCCTTCGATGAAGGTATGAAAATATACTAAGATCAAGTGAGGTTTTCAGAGTGTTGCATGTCAGCTACATATGCCAATATTTCTTGGTAATAGATGTACATACCATTGTTCTTCATGTCCGTGAGCATGAACAAATAAACGAAATAACCTGGTATCAATTACTTCTTGATCTATTTATTCATAAATATCAATAAAACTGTTCACATGTTAAATGTTGAAAATACTTTATTTCTTAAGGTCCTGCTAATCCACTACTTAACCTCCATTTTAATAGTTAAAACATGCCTTTATAGTGAATTTATACAACTACTAAATAACTGTAAAATATTTATGTAATACTAACAGTTCCTCTTGATTCTCTAAAATGAACAACAAAAATGAGAACACATTATAGAGTACTGCCAAATATTTCTTTGACATATATGAAGGCAACCTCCTTACAAAGCCAAAAGTATGGTACATGAAAAAATAACCTTGTGGTTGAACTTTCAGGGGGCAAAAACGTGCAAAATCAAAAAGAAATGTTTCTGAATGTTTGCTTCAATATGTTACAAAAGAATGACAACACTAACTTTTGTATCAGTATTTCTTTCAAGTTACTCCTTTTCCTTCTTCAACATCATCATAATTAACTGATTTTGTTGTAGTAATTGTTGCTGGAACAGTTCCATTTTCCTTTCTCTCTCTGCTTCATCTCTTCTCCTCCTCTCCACTTCTCTCTCTTCCTTCTCCCTCCTTCTTTCTTCATCGTGCCTCCTCCTTTCCTCTTCCCTCTCTTCTCTCTGCTGTCTCCTTTCCTCCTCTCTTTCTTCTCTTTCCCTTCTTCGGTCTTCATCTTGCTGTCTTCGCTCTACTTCTTCCCTCTGCATTTGGAACTCACGTTCTTTCATTTGCTGGTCCAACTCTAATTTCCTCATCAAAAAATCTGTCGCCTCATTTCCAGTGTTCCTTCTCTTCCTTGGTTGTCCATCTTTCTCTGATTTAATCCTGTAAAATAAAAGTTTTGAGTAATGTAAAAATAACACTTTTCTATTTGAGGTTATACATGCAAAAATCTTTCGAAATTTTAGTTTTCTAAACATGCATTTGTACATCAGTCTGCTGTTGGAAAAAAATGTTTCCCATTCATGGACACACGGTTTAATTTTGTACCTATATTCCTTTCACATCTTGGTTTGTATTTAGCTTTTGATATTTATTCATCCTGTTCAATAACACTATTTTCAATGCTAAAAATTAGATAGGACTATAGCCCATTTTAGATTGCACATTCAAATCAAAAGAATTGAGAAGTAACACTTTTTTGGTAAAAGACTGGTATTAAGACATTTAAGTTCACCTCTTGCTTGTCTCTGTAAACGACTCTAAAGCTCTATTCCTCATTTCAACACCATCCACCTGTTTCTTATCCTCCTCTGTATGATGTTCTTTGGTGTCCTTTTCCACCTCAACTAAATCCTCAATAATCTGTGTGACCTCCATTTGCTCGTCAGTGAGTTCTGGTGCAATACCACTTTCTTTAAGTTCCTTGCTATTTCGCTTAGTCACTGTCTCTTTTATTGTTTTGTATTTGTCCCGCACTGATCTCTTTGTGACATCATATCCATGTCTCCTAAGATTAGTAGCAATGTCTTCCCATGCCTTTCCCCTTTCTTTGGTACGCTCTTTGTATTTGAAAGGATTAACATAATCAACCTCTCGGCACAGAATTAGGCTCATGTCTGGAGTCCACGAGATAGGCCTGTTACAGTGACAAATAAAAAAAAACTGTACATAATTGAGATAGAATATGCATAAATACAATAAGGTTCAATGTTTTCTAAAAGGAAGAACATCTAGTATTCTATAAACCAAAAGATGAAGGTTTGCAATTCATAGTTACACAAGTCGCAATGCTAAATCAAACTGGGAAAGTTAATCGGAAAATAAATTAATTTGGGTGGCAAAATCTTTTAATATGCAAACTTTTAATAAGATACAAGTTGTTGGGAACAATCTTCATATTTTAAATTCACTTCATCATTTTTGAAGCCTGAAATAAGACACAATAAAATTCTGAACACATGAGCATTAAAAGTATTCAGATGAGCATTAAAATACTTTAGTATCAGATCATGTGTCCTGGCTTACCTGGTAAACACGTATTTATGACTTTATGTATAATACGAATGAAAATGGTATCATACATAGGGAAAAAAAACCTTTGTCACTCACGTTTTATTAGTTACTAGAGGACTTGCAGCTGAACGTGAACTTGTTGTAGTTCTATGTGAAGCTGTCCGTTTTGATGTAAAACTGGGCAACACTTGCTCTTC